AGGCGAAAATGAATTGGTATATGGATAGAAAGATAGGTAAATATATTTATATGAAAATGATTATTACATGAATCTGCCTAGTATCAACGGTTGTCTAAGGGTGGCAGGTGTCCAATATAGACAGATGACCTTTATGAGTGGACAAGGGTGGTAACCAAGACAGATTTGACCAAAGATTGGTACATAGCTTCACAAATGGACACGTAAGTATGATGAGGATAGAAATAACCAATTTATTACGAAACAAATAGTCGCTAATGGAAGAAGTGGACGTTAGTCAAGAGAAATGAAGATATTCTCTATTCATAAGTCCCGAAACATTTCTCACGTCGAGGAAGGTCATTTAATCATGCATGATTCACCCAAACCGGGAACATAAAAAAAACACCAACAAAACAGAGTGGGAAAAAAGGGAATTACAACAACCAGTCAATTTACGGGATTGCCCTGTAAAGGCGAGTGAATCATACAATGTAACAAGGTGTTAAAATCTCATGCCCCGTTTAACGCAGTGGGAAGAAAAAAAATAAGGCCCATGACGAAATTCGTCGGCGAAGCACTTTTCTGACGACTGCAATGAAATTGGCGTCTTTTCAGCTGTTTTAATTTCATCTCGCCGTGCCGTGGCGGAGGTTTCAGTTTCGTCGGTACGCGTCGTATAGTATAGTATTTATTGCTGGAGAAGTGAGTCGGTTCCACAAGTGGTTTTTACAGTAAACTAGGCAATTCGGATCATATTTATTGAAAATCTATTAACAAAAAATCTAAAATAATTAGAGGTTTTTGTTGTGAAAAAGAATAACAAGGGAAAATGTGAAACGGATGAAACAGGAAAAAAAATATTTTGGCACGTCTCATTTGCTTGTCCTTTCAAAGGTAACGAAACTGTAGCATTTCGAAGTATCACAATATTTGTGGTCTTATATACTACATCAGCAACTCCAATACAAAGAAGATCTTATTTTCAAGGATACCATTATAAAAGGAAATAGGGTAAGAATGATATGCATTATATGTATTAATCTGGCATTTAGACAAGCACACATACGTCAACGGGGACATGTTAACCTAAATCTAAAGGAATTTTACCCTCTATAAAATGTCCATCAAAATAACAAAGTGAAAATATAAAAAAGAAAAAGAAGAATATTAGTCACATTTCGCACAAAGGCCTCATAAATATTATTATGGCATTGTTTGACAATATCAAGCATTGAAATGAATGACTGAGTTGTTGTAATGAGATGTTTTAAAGTAATTTGTTATACCATTTTCATTTTTATATAAATAAGAAAAACACCTTTATCGTTTAATTTCTGTTACCATGTAAATGTGCCATGGTGGTAAAAAAATCACCAATAAAAAAAGGATAACATTTCTCACTCATTTATTGTGCATGATGTAATCCCCTTTTGTTAATTAAGCAAATAATCATACTGAAAGAAATGAAAAATCAAGGAGTATTACAAATGGGTTCTCAGAACTTTGAGGGCGCCCCTGCTGAGCACCGTGAGAGAAATGGCGTCGAAGACTGGGCAGGTTTTACTTGTTTGCTCACAGCACACATGCTTACGTCAGTCTTCCCTGACTGACAGCCTGAGATGTGTACATAGGGTAATACCACACTACTACACTCATGAATAATGCATGATTCGACCATGATATTATTATCATTCGTATATTAACGATAGAAATTATAGCCAGGTTCAGACGTGTAGTAGCTATCCTAGTGCGGCCACACCCATCTTGTTTGTACTTATGTATTAAACAGAAATGATAGTAATGCCTGTAACTGACACTCTTAACAAATTAATATCATTTTTAAAATCATCAACTTATAACTGTATATATAATTGATGAAATTAGTAATATTTCATTGCCTTACAATGCGCAAACAATTCAGCTCCTTTACAGCATGGAAGTGCACCAACATACACTAAAAGCGACACAAACGTAACAGGTAATGGCGTCAGTACTACGGGCGCTTTTTGATGAAAGAGCCATTTCCCCAGGTAACTTTTAATAACTTATTTTGTTGAATACCTTGAGATTTATTCAATCTTTATTTGAATGTCAATTGAGAAATATAACCCATTGATTAACCGAAATGAAAGAAATTGAATTATCTTTACTACATGTACATGTATTTGTAAACTATAGGCCACATTGCATATGCAACCACTGTTTGTTACTTATTTTAACGGTGCATGTAAGCATATTTTGGTTATTGAAAGTTTGCAGGTGGGTAATTGACCATGAATTGGAGAACATACAAGTACAAGGAAAATAGGCCCCCGAAAGCTCTAAATTCTGCAAACCAGTGAGGTATATTATTGTGCAGGGGAATCCTATTGTAGCCTAAATAAGCCTTCGGGGCATGATCTTAAAGTGTTTTCGTTTTTTACCTGTCTTTTCTCCTCCTATACTGGAGCCCACCTAGGTGATCTATGCGCATTTTTGTTTCGAGTTTTGCGTCGGAAACTTCTTATTCCTCGCATATGCGCCCCCATTCTTCCCCTATCCACTCATCCCTTGCTTCTTACCAGCTCAATATTATGGCCTGAGGTCGCGATAAAAAAAACCAGGCTCATAGCACGTGTTTCGGGGTTACTGTTTTTATGATTCTCTTATTGTGAGGTAATCGATTTTAAGAAGTCTTTTGAAAGAGAGAATAAAGAGCGAATAGAAAGACATTTAAAGAGAGAAAGAGACAGAGAGTCAAACGCTATTCTTCAATGTCTATTGATTGATGCACAAATGGGATGTTATTCATGGGGCAAAATAGATTGAAGAGATAAAAGCATGACATAAACCATGTAAGGTAGCATATTAATAGAAAAGTCTTTTCTCAAGAATGAGAAGGAAAATGTCAACTAAGATTTGAGAGTTAATGTTTTTAAACTCTTAAGCTGTTTCTCATGTTACTGGCCGATGTCAACATCTTATCAAGATATTTCATTTGTGTTTTCATTTTTATTTTACCTAAAGGCAATGTACTTTACTTTGTTCATAAAATATGATGAACTTCTAGCTTTAAACATTTAAAAAACAATACTCAGCTAAATTCATCCCATTATTATTGTAAAAAGGAACATTTATTGTCCAATATGAATTATACAAATAAGTAGTATGCAATATGAGACATTGAAAACTTATTGCATATTCCAGCTTCAATATGGTTAGTTTTGTATTATGTTGAGAATACTTTTTTGCTTTTTAGTTTTTATATTCTCAATCACTTAGCAGAACTGCAATATCCATAATACCTTTGCACATCTGCCATTTCTTATGACACATCTTCATTCTCGAAATGGGTTTTCCACCTTCATCTGTAACCTAGTCATAGTTGCTGGTGCTTGTATCTGCTTGGATTTGTTTATACCGTCGCTTCCACCCACTCTATATATCAGCCTGGCCTACGGGTCTCCGTTACAAAAAGACCTGAATAGAAGGAAGAGAAAAGACTCGATTCACAGGTGCGACAATGAGCGACCTAAGACCATTCCATTTTCACACGCCGGTGCTATTCATTGCATTGTGTGGAGTAGGGATGGTTTAGAGGGGGGTATAGAATGGCTGTCGGCTTTCGGTCCGAACACGTGTTTTAATTAGCTACTTGCTCGAAGTGGTCCGAACACAGCCTCTAAAAGAAGATGTGAAAAGAAAGATAGAAGGGACAAAAAGAGAGGGTCTCAAATACTTTATGAAGCATTGAGGGCTTTATCCCCAGTGTATTGTGTGTTATTGGACATACACACTGCATTGGACAGCATAAAAGGAAGATCAGAGGTGTTTGAATGGAGGAAGACGGAAAACTGAGAGATGGCCTAATCGAGACTGTTACCCCAAGGTAGTAAAAAAAAGAAGTGGAGAAAAGCAAAACAAGAAATAGCAATGAGTCATACCTCGTACTTGGTAGTGAAACTATGACAGAGAAGCAATAGGTTGTGGATATGAGGAAATGGGACAGTGATGGTAACACTGAATGGAAATAGAGAGAATGGGTGAATGGAATGGGCCACAATATACACCTGTAGTATGGTATTCAATTGGGAAAAGAATACTGCCTCGTTACGAATTGTGACAAATATATCCTGTTGTTGAAAATATTATACCCCCTCCCGGCAGACTTGGGTTTTAAGATAAATGGTAGGATGTGTTAAGTATCCGTAACAAAAACATGAAACAATATTTAAATACGGTTTAAAATATGTTTGGATTTAAATGTACTCCATGTTAATATTTGGGAAGGCATGACAACATTAATCTACAAGACGTTTTTCATAAATTTCGATGAATGCATTCTCATAATGATAATATGAATATTGTTATCTCTGAATAATGTCAAGGTCAAATCGAAGAATTGACATTTTTAATTCAAAATCTGAATAACAAATTCCTGTTTCGTGTTTCAAGAACGAAGTTTCTGCTTGGTAGAATAGGATACAAAGCAAATGAGGGAAAGAAAGAAAGAAACAGTCAAGTGTGGTGAGTCGTGAAATGAATAAAAGACTGATTCGTTATGGTATTTTCATACAATTTTGTGAAAATAAGATTGTGTGTTGAAGTGTGTATGTGTATTGCTGCGTGGTAACTAGCTACACGGTGTGGGAGTTGGTGCAGGAAAGTCGCTGAAAATATCTCGCGGATTACACGAGTTTAAAATCTACCCGAGATTCAAGTTACCATCAGATGTGCTTCAATCTGGTGTTTCTTAAGACTTGAGGGCCAAGTTCGTACCTTTCTTTAAAAACCCATTTTGATTGGCAGATATTTCAGTCAACTTAAGAGTTTGAGCGTTGCTAATGGGTGGTCCGCAAGGACGCGTTGTCAATCAAGTGACGTAGGGCGTTTTTGATTTGCCCGATTACAATGAGTGGGCGGGGCGTATTAATTAGCCTGTAGTGGTAGGCGTGTATGAGTCGGGTCAGGCGAGCTAACTCCGTTCCATTCTCCCTCCGTGTTTGGTGCTCTCTCTGACAGTTTGAATACAACTCTTTACCTCGTCAACACGCGCATACACATCAGTGGAGGCTGACACTATATACTTTAGCAGATATATACAAACATACACTCAGCTCACGATCGAGAGAGAGAGAGGAACACAACGTGTGTGCAAACTTGTATTTTTCTCTGACTGTGTTACTTTAATCTGCCATCGTGGATTTCAAAGAGGAACCCATGGCCAATAGTGCCATGATCTCGCCCAAGCCTGGTTACCCGGCAGCATCACCCGTCAGCATGAATACGATGACGGGTATGACGGGCGTCGGGAGTATGACGTCCATGAACAGCTACAGCTCGATGTCGACCACGGGTATGCCGGGGAGTGCGATCACCAGCATGAGTGGTATGACCCACGCGGGTATGACGGGGATGTCGAGCATGTCGAGTATGGCTGGGATGGGAATGAACCCCGGCATGGGAAGCATGGGTCACATGAACTCGATGGGGAGTATGAACACCATGGGCTCCATCAATGGCATGAACTCAATGGGTGCTATGAACAACCCCGCTGCGATGTCGATGAGATACGCCCAAGCTCAGGCTGCCAACTCTATTGATCGTATCCGTGCTGATAAGACATACCGACGATCTTACACCCATGCTAAACCTCCTTATTCTTACATCTCTCTTATTACCATGGCCATCCAGCAATCTCCGCAGAAAATGGTGACTTTGAGTGATATTTACCAGTTTATCATGGACTTGTTTCCCTTTTACCGTCAAAATCAACAACGGTGGCAAAATTCGATACGCCACAGTCTCTCGTTCAATGACTGTTTCGTCAAAGTCCCGAGAACGCCCGATCGACCTGGAAAAGGGAGTTTTTGGACGCTCCATCCTGATGCTGGTAATATGTTCGAGAATGGATGCTATCTGAGACGCCAAAAGCGATTCAAATGCCCCAAGAAGGAGGCCCAGCGGCTGGCGCAGAAAGCAGCCGGAGACGACGGGCAACCGATTGAGAACGGGGAACCCAATACCAGAGACCCTTCAACGCCTGTATCACATCCCACCCCAACCGACTCCGTATCATCAGACGGGGGACTGCCCAACCAGAACCAGCAACTAGAACACCCACAACAAGTACCAACACCACAACACCAACAACAAGGCGCCACACTGCATAAGATGGAGAATCATCAGTTATCACCGCCACACAGCATGAGCAGCTACGCCAACCCGTCTCGTCCCATCGCCTACCCGACAGCCTCGGCGACCATGGGTATGTCGGGAATGACGGGCATGCATCCAGCCAGTATGCTAGGAGTAGGACAACATCCATCCTTCGCACATTCACATCCATTCTCCATCAACAGTATAATCTCACCTGAACATAAACTGGACATGAAGGCTTATGAGGCCATGGGGTACAACCCCTACAATATGGGCATGCAGGCTCAGAGTGCGAGACCCAACATGGACTATAACTCTCCAATGGGACCTGGGGAGGTAACATATAGCCAGCTCCAAACGGCTCAAGCAAACCATGCAATGTGAGTTAATACTCTGGTATGTGTCTAGAAACTATTTGGACCTTTTCTATTTCAATTTATAATGTCAGTACCATCCTGTAAAAGTTCTAATTTGTGATAGAGTATGTGTTTATAGAAGAACAGAAAGAGAAACGTCACAGATATTGGTATATTGACACGACCAGTTATAGATGGAGCACGCCACATTATTTGTTTTCTTTTGGAAGAAATATTGTCAAATTCCGAGCTGAACTTTAGATACTGAATATCATCTTTCAGTGAATTAACTTGTTTTTCTACTCTGACAATCATTCACAATTTGTGCAAATGTCACCATGTGTTAAATGAAATAGAAAGAGAGCTTTACATTTTAGTGTTCTTTTTGTTTGAACCCCAAACACTCGGTTAAATCAATCTAATCATTGTAATATGTATAATTCTGAAATGTGAGTCACATCGCCAAATTCAATTCCAACATTATTCCAATAAATAGACTTCTTGATTTTATTGTGAATGAATGCATAATTGGTATTTATTTATTTGATATTGGTATATATTAGTTCTAGAATATTTGTCATCTAGCTAGTTTCCGTAGCCCTGTAATACAACAGATCACTTCATGTTTGAAAATAATTCCCTGTCCATTCATTTCGAAGGGACGCTGAGAAGAAATTAACAGGCAAATATAAAGTTGCGTTCGTTTTTATTTATATCGCAGCATCGTACACATTCATAATTACATTTTTCATTTTTTACTTTAATACTCCAACAAAGATAAATTGTGTGCAATGTTTGCATAATTATGTTCAGCTGGAAAGTAAATGAAGTGTTTCAAAATTGTTAATTGAGGGCTTTTTCGAGGAATTTAATTTCTGAATGAAAATAATTAGCGTAGGATTTAAGGTGTTTCACCAAAGTGCCAAATGCAATATTAAATCTTAAACCTACATCTCTCTGTCACGACTTAAAATTATGTAAGTATATTATATGTCTGTCTTTCTCGTAGTAAACATTTTATCATAACTCCTGTATTAACAATTTCATGCCATTTTGTAAGAGTTACCGTGTCCAATTTTGATACAGACACCGTTACCGTTTTTCTTTTTTTAAGAAAAGGATTTAAAGAAAATAAAGACTTAAACAAATTAGATCAAACAAATTCATCTTTACTTGGTGAAAGAGATCCATTCAATATCATATTTAATACCAAAGAATTCCGTATCGTATGATAACCTGTTGTTTTTATGATTTTATTTTTTAATAGATGTACGTTGCACAACTCTTGTGTATATTTTTCTTGTAAACTACATGTATATGTTCATTTTTTTTCGAGAGAGATTTAATCGAGTGCTATGTTGAGATATATCAAGCAAATGATGTTCAAAAGAGAAATAATGTCCTTTTCTTCTTTTCTCTCAATAAACCGCTGAAAGATATATGAAAATATGTTTAAAAATCGCAACTTTCGTGTTTTCAACATCTCTTGTTTAATTTTTAAAAAGACTCAGTACAAAATGAAGTTACGTGAACTTGGAAATATCAACCACTTATGTCTTTCCTTATTAATTTCTTTCTTGATTATCATAATTATTATGATCATCATCTTATTCTTAAAAAAAAAAAAATCTTTTTCATTTAATTATTTTCAATCCGTTGATATTTCCCCTCGGTTTGTTCAAGTAACTTCATTCAGATACATTAATTGAATGATGTGGTGGATGTTAAGCAGATGTATGTTGGTGAAATCGTGTGTGCATGTATGCCGATGTAGAGTGTTGTATATAACAGATGAATATCAGTATGATGTATCGATGTGACTTAATTGTGTGACTGTTAACTGTGGTAATAAATGCCGATTTGATACATTTACCATATCCCATTTCCATTGGCATATTTAGTAACTTGATTGTCTATTGCCATGAGATATTATCTTAACTAAATTACTGTTTTCAAAATATATATGCGCATTGTCTAGTTATATTTAGATTTCAATGGCGATATGCATATCATATCACGCTGGATTAGACATTTTCTTCACTATTGCTCACATGAAACTATCCTTAAATTCCAATACTACAGAAAAATGCGCAATCATTTGCTGTTGAAAAACCAGCTAACAATGACGGCTCAAGGTCAGCGATTATTATAATCCTCACTTTAAATTTTGAGATGCTTGGTTGGTTGTTTGTGACGTCTGCTGCAGTGATCTTGTTTTGTCCAATTTGCTGAGTGTGAAGGAAAAAGGCTTTTGAAAGAGGTGGTGTGTGTGTGTGTGTGTGTGTGTGTGTGCCTGGTTATGATTTTGGATTGTCCAACGTATGTTTACGCATAATGTTTGGACGATAATTCCAACGTACTCTTTCAGAGTCAGCTGCGCACATCTCGTTTGCCAGTTTACACTGCATTTTGCAATAAATGTCTAAAATGTTTTGTTAAAATGCAGAAAATTGAAAAACTGCTAATTTGCAGAACATTCTCGATCCCAATGAAAATATGCTGGCAGTGAGGTAAACAGGTAAAACTAGCAAATTTAATCTGATTTATTCAAATAATTCAGAGTTAGCATTGTTCCAAGATAACTTTTTTATTTAAAAAAAAAAACGTCACTTAAGTTTGAGATGTGAAAAATTATCATCTTCATGACTTAATTGCATGGCCTTTAAAAAAAAAATTAACAAGAAGAGCGTCCCTTAAAAGTTAAATCTAATTCAATCCTGCATTATTTTGTTAGTGATTTTAATTAGTACAAAATAGTGTAAAATAATGAATTTAATTAATGATAGTTATTTAAAAAATAGTGTCTCTTGTGATATAGTTGTCACTTTACTTTTAATCCAAGATGGATTTGCTCAAACATTTGGCAAAGGTGGTTGGCCCGGTGGGTTAAAACATGTACTAAGTAAACTGTGAGAAAAATTTCTCACTTTTAACTTTTATGGGACTTTATCCCTTCCCCAACAATTTAACCCCTCCTTTATTCTTTCTCAACCTTTATGTTACATTACAATAGAAATAAGGGACCGCTAATTGGTGTAGAATAGAACCACCACGAGATTGTTTTCTTCAGAAGGGTACCGCCAAAAGTGATTGTCTGCTTACATTCAGGGGCGGACTAAAGAACCGTTTAACGGCGGTAAAACAGTTTCTGGATTATAAAGGGAGGTATAAAGGAGCGGATCTTTTAATCCATCATAATCTCTGTTAATCCCCCCAAATAGAAGCGCAATCAAAGCAAGTGAAGAATTCGTGAGTAGCAGAAATGTTTAAAGGTGTTTGGAGGACTTAATCTTGGTATGGGAACAGATCGTCTACGCCTTATAAAGCATGTTTGTTATTTTGCCTAAAAAACTAAGAATCATAGATTATACATATACATTTTTATTACCGATAAAAGTTAACACAATTTAAAAAGAATTAAAGTTTTTGAAGTTGGCCCTCTGTCTTTAACTATCTGTTCTTAAGAGCATCATGAATATGAATAACGTTATGATTAATTAATATTAACACAATCTGGATACGGAGTTGAAACTGTGTCTGCTCATATGAAGCTTTTTACATGAAATGATCTCAATTATACTTACAATAATATAGTATCATATCGTTAAAACTTAAACATTTCATTGATTAATGAAAATGATTAAAATGTATAGGCCTACATTAAATATTTTAGAAAAAGAAGAATACAAAAACTATACAGTGTATCTAAACATCAAATAAGAATTAGTTAGGACTTTAATGGCATTCTTCAAATTATGAATTCGTTTGATCCATGATACATGGGAATGGGGAATAATAAATCTAACAGTTTTGAAGGCTTTCGGTATTATAGAAACAAAGTTTAAAAATTCTATTAATTTTTGTCTCTTTATATCTCTACTACCCTCCCCTATTATTTCCTCCCTCTTTCGTCACCTCCCTTTTACATTGTACCTCTCTATCTTACCCTATTTCTCATCTCTCCCCTGTCTCCCCCTCTCTCTCTCTTTCTCTCATTCCCTTTTTATTCTATGTTTGATTCTTATTATTGTATTTCCTTATTTTACTTCACAATCATGGTGACCTGGTTAAATTCACTGGTTTACTCATTTCTTTTTCGTTAACCCCTTTACATTCAAGTATAATTTTATTACAATAAAGACCAATGGTCATGAAACCTATATTTTGTACACATTTTTTATTACAAATCTGTAAAAGAACGATATATTGCAATATCTTTTAGACAGTTGCAGAAAAAAGGGGAAACGGACGTTCAAGTTTTTGATATGCTGATTGCAAATGCGATTGAAGGAATGAAATTTCGTCACGATTATGTAGATGTATTGAAAACGATCAGCAACAGTTTTCAGTAGAGCACGCGTGGAAAATGAGATTGTTGTGCCACATCGGGTGCTTGGACTGTCATCAAGCCGCTACTTCCCCGTGTGATCGCCGTCGCATGCCCCGCGGAGATGCTCGGCTTATGTGTCTCATCTACGGCTCTCCCACCACTCCAACTCACCCAGGAAATGGGCTCGGATGCGAGCTCTCCACTCCACAACTCTATCACTCCTTTCTCCTCCCTCTCTTGCCCCGGGAAAACATCCTTAAGTCTCTGGCTAAATTGCCATAAATATCCATTTTAAATTTGGTGGCGCGTATTTTGCCCTGAGCGGGCTATTATCATGAGATAGGGGTGGCTGAAATACGAGGCTGGCTACGCCATTCTCGACAGTGGGAAAGCGTAGTACCTATCAGAAGCCAATTTCCAGTTAGTAACAGCTCTATCATGTATGCACTCGAACCACCTCAACATGCCTATAGATCACATGCAGAGGATGTGCTAATAATAATACTTCTCCTGGATTGGTAATGCGAAACCAGAGCTTGTATTTTGGATAATTTACACCAGAATAGTCATGACTGTCATTCATGTAGCTAGCTATCAGAATAATGGAAATTAGGTAGCATAGTAATTCATGTCTACAAAACTGAGAAGCCATGAAAGCTTGCTCAAAACTTCTTTGATTTTTTTATTTCTTTCTTCAATTTGTCATTGAAACATGATTCACATACAAAATGTTATGCATAAAAAATGGAAACGAAACTTATGAAAGTGAACCGATTATATATAACGATGTCCTAAAGTTATGCCATTATGCATCTTGTTCATCGTGAGTGCCTCAAACAAAACGTGTGGGGTTTGAATTTGTAAATAATGAGGTCTGAGTAGTTAACCGATAAAAAAATGGAAACATTCTTTGAATATTCGTCAATCTATTTATTGTGTGACGGCTTTAAGTCGGATACACATATCATTTTATATTTTCAATAACATTCTTATCAAACATGTAACTCAGACAATTTCATCATTTAATAATTTTATCAAAAACCCGAATGTAATAAATCCGTAAAAAACGTACAATCCCCAAAATTGAATAGGCCTATGCGTTCTAAACATAGATAATCAAATTTCACCACTGGTGCGAGTGTCCCCAATACATATATTTGAATATATTTATCTTTAAAATAGACAAACACGCGGGGGAAAACAAGTACGAGAACAAATCAAACCACAGGCATAAATTTGCATCATAAGCCGCTTTAGGAGAAAGAGGAAAGTAAAAAACAACTTTACAGAAACATAATTATCAAAAGGTCAGCAAAATCCGACGAAATGTAAATGTGGGAGTGTGGGGTACGTATATCACACTTAACAAAAACTTGAAATGGAATAAAGACTTTGCGAATTTAGGATATCTTGCTTTGTCTTAAATAAAACGACATACAACCAATCAATCAATTTAGTGCTTCATAGCTCAATAGCTCATTAAACTTTGTATAGGAATGTTAAAAACAGGATCCATGGTTTTTCAAAACACCCATCTTTATGTCATTTGATGTAACCATGGAAAGGTGCAAACTAAAAACTGCTTCATTATCATTTAAATGCTTGTACCTTTGTTCTATTAGTAAATATAACGTTGTACAATAGAAAAGCATGAATATGTTCGGCACTAACACGTTTAATGACGTGTTTTTTTCTATTCCAAAGAAAAAAATTACAAACAAGAACGCATTCCTTTCTGTACAATATATAATTAAATTCTGTAAAGTGATTGCAGATTGCTTTATCCAAGCGTATATTGGTATTTCAAGTTTTAAAATTATATAGTTTATCCGTTTTGGATTATCTGAATTTGTATTATTGAAATATACTTGTGTATACAAAATATATAATATATGTAGGTTGGCCTGAATAGCTTTACATAAATCAGTTTAGAGAGGGCGTCACCCTCAAATCCTTTCAAAATATCTGCACGTTAGGTGTTTTTGTGGTTTATGTTGGGGTTGTATATCTGGTTAGAGTGTGGATTGTGAACAGCCATGTTTTAGGAATCGGAATTATGAATCAATTGCAATC